AGTGCTGGGTCTATTACTTCTGCAGGGTTTCAGCTGGGAGGGACAGCTCCCAGCTGCTGGATCGGTGGGCGCTCTGGGCCCAGGCACCCCTGCCTCTGAGGCAGAGCCCTGTGTTCTGTGTGCCCTCAGGCTCAAGGGCGCTCCACTTGGGCGGCAGACCTCGGGGTCATCTGAGTTGGGGGCGCCCTTCTCAAATGCTCCCCACCCCCAGCTCTCAGTTGTTCTCGTCCCTAGGACATCCTTCCCTCTTCTTTCTTGTAGCTCTCACCACGGGCAACACTCAGTCAACCCCACCCAAGGACTCCCCACTGGGCTGTCTGATTAAGACCTTGGAGGCTCTGGGACTTGCCAACCTCAAGCCCAAGCGCTTGATTTTCTCTTGCAACACAGCGGGGCCTCCACACAAACTGGGCGACCAGGAAGTCGGGCCCATGAATGGACCATTTAACTGTAATACTATCCTCCGTGCTGTCGTCGCCCTGAGAAATGATGTGAGGCTCCTTACGTTCAGGACTTCTTCAAACTCTCTCACCATCCTGATCTCTGCACTTCCTGTCCCACAGTCTTACACCTGCTTCCCTTCCTCCTCCGTCTTCCCAAGATTCAGGCCATCTCCCCCCCTTTGCACTTCCTGCTCCATATTCCCCATCACATGACTCTTTAGCACCCCTTCCGTCTCCTCTCCCTGCTTCTCCTCAGGCCTCTCCCCCTGCCCCCCTTAGGACTGGGTTTCTCCCAGGCAGACCTGTTCAGGCTGTCTCTTTCAGGAACCTCCTAGGCCTGCAACCCAGTTCCCTCTCCCTGAGGTTGCCGAATCAGAGGGCATTACTCAGGGCCAGGCTCCCTTTTCAATGTCAGACCTCTCCCAAGTTGAGGTCAGTCTTGGCAGTCTTTTGGCAAACCCAGAGAAGCTTACAAAGGAGTTTGAATATCTCAGTCGTTCCTGTGACCTCCTCTGGAGAGACATTCGTATGATCTTTCCTACCTGTACCAATGTGGGAGGGGGAGGCCGTATCTGGGCCAAGACACAGGAGTGTGGGAACAACCTAAATCCGAAACAGCCCCTCCGGCGCCGCAGCCGGCCCTGACCAGGACCCCAGTCGGACGACCAAACTAACGTCCCAACCCCCAACCATAGTAACCGGGATCGCACGCTCTCCTGCCCCATAAAGGGAATGCATGGGCTACTACTAAGCCTCTTAACTACAGCGAGGTCAAGGGAATCACTCAAGGGCCAGATGAGAGCCCTGCTCTTTTCCTCTCTAGGCTCTTGGCGGCTTTTTGCCTCCACACTGACCTAGACCTCAATTCTAGGGAGGGCCAGACTACCCCAGCAATGTAGTGCATTTCCCGGCTGGCCCCAGACATTCAGCACCGACTCCAAACGCTGGAAGAGGGCCCTCAGACCCCACCACCGGAGCTAGTTGATCTGGCTTTCAAAGTCTTTAACAAACGTGATGAGGGCAGACAAGAAAAGGGAAAGAGATCGACAGTGATCCCAGGAGCAAAAAAAGTTTTCCAAATGGTAGCCTCAGCAATTGAGGGGACTCTACAGGGAGGGACCCCCGATGCAGCGGTAAGGACAGCCATCAGCAGCCAGCACTGGGGCCCTGAACTGCTTCGACTGAGAACAAAAGGGTCACTGGAGCAAAGGGTGCCCAAAGAAAAAGCAGCAACCACTGGGACATGCTCGTTTTGCAAAGAGTCAGGCCCTGGAAGAAGGACTGCCCTCTCCTCCAGGGGGCAGATGGAGCTCCCCTTCTGAACCGGCAGGCACTCCTAGAGGGGCTCCCCGCATGCCCTGGGCCCTCCTGCTCTCCTGCAGACACGGACTGACCACCCCAGGCGGCCTCCACGCTGCGCCCTCGCAATGGCCAAGCCTGGGTAACTCAGTTGCAGGAAAGCTAACCGACTTCTTAATTGATGCCGGAGCTCCTCACTCTGCTCTCCCTGAGTTTTGGGGCTCTTTGTACCCCTCTCCTATCTCCAAAACGGGGGGGGGAAGGTCTCGGGCCACCCCACAAACCCCCAGCCTCTGCACTCGGGGAGATCTGGTCTCCGCTCACTCTTTCTTAGCCATTCCTAATCGTCCCTCCCCTCCCCTCAGGAGAGACTGAATGACTAAGCCAGGTACTCAGGTTCTTGTGCACCCTCAGGCTTCTTTCCCAGAACTGCAGAGAACGTCCTCCACCCCAGCCTCCCTCCGAACTCCGTTCCCTGAGGTGATAAACGGGAGTGCCTGGAACAGCGACATTCCTGGGAGGGCACATCACATACAGCCCATCACGTACAGCCCGTCACCATCCGCATGGACGGTCCCGCACGCTTGCCGTGCCGCTCCCAACACCCAATTAAGCTAGAGGCCCTCCAGGGGCTCAAACCCCTCATGACCACGTCTCTCCAATCAAGCTTATGAAGACCCGCCAACGGCCCTCGCCACACCCCTGTCCCCCATCGGGAAACCCAGACGGCTCCCACCGACTAGTAGTAGTGCAGGACCTCGGAACCCGCTCCCAAAACCATGATGTTGGCTGAGGCTCCTTCTTTCCTTCAACTGGGCCTTCAGTCCCTCTTCCACCCCCGCTCCCACCGCATGCCTCCCCCACGGGCAGGAAGGGCCCTGGCCACCCCCTCTTGGGGGAGAGGGCAGTGAGGCAGCCAGTAAAAAATTATCCAAGCCCTACTTCAATGTCATGATCGATACTGGCCTAAACTCAAAGAACTACACCTCCTTCTTCTGCGGGGATAAAGCCTATCCCTGCTTACCTACGAAGTGGACAGGCACTTCTCTCGCTTATATTACTCCCAAACTCACCCTTGTCACCGACAGTACGCCTCTCCCTTCCACGCCCAACCCACAAGAGTCAGAAGGGGGCCCTAGCTGGGACCATCATAATCGGCATTCTAGCCAGAGTGGGAACTGGCATCGGAGGCCTTTTAAACTCCATTCTCATGGCCCAGCAACTACCCTTAGAAGTAACTCAACAAATAATTGACGCAGCCAACCAAATCAACACCCTACAAGAACAGATCGCTTCCCTAGCAGGAGTAATCCTATGGAACAGGCGAGTCCTAGACTTTCTAACGGCTAACCAGGGAGGGACCTGTGCCGTGCTTAATGACCAATCTGGAAAAATACAAAATAATCTGAGAAATATCACTGATAAAACCAGCCAACTCTATAAAAAAGGAGCCACGGGAGGATTTAACTCGTGGGATTTTAAAACCAACATCTGGCTCTGGCTGTCTTGGCCGACTCCTTTCCCAGGTCCCTACTGCAGCTCTTCTCTTTACTGTTGCCCAGCGGCCGTGTCTCCCTGAGATTTCCTACGTCCTGCATCCCACAAAGCGTCTAAGCTCCAGGAGACTCACTTCACAAATGACCCCACCTACGGCTCTCGCCTTCCGGGCGGTCCACCCTCTCCCTCTTAATGACCCACACCTGCGGCCACGGGCAGGGACAACTCTACGTCCACAATCCGCAGGAGGTGGTTACAGAAAAAGGGCACTTCATCCCTACTCCCCAGAACCAGAATGGACCCGGTCATTAAGCATAAATTCATCTTAAAACCAGAGGGGGGAATGAAAGGACAAAGCCAGCCCCATCTGCTGTCGTGGCACCATTCGCCTAGCAGGCCTATGACCTGGTGACACAGGACTGACATTTTTCTCTTCTGAGCTTCTTGTCCCCAGGACTGGAAGTTACTGGAAGCAAGAACAGAACCAACCACTCCCTGCAGCCCCGGGCAGAAGATAACATCGGAACAAAGTGCGCTGAGTTCAGGACACGCCAACAGCCCAGGGGCCGCACAACGGCCACCCCCTCCGCACCCTTTTTAATCCAATGAGAGCTCGAAGCCCCCACCCCTCAAGGCTGGTTACCTCTCCACACCCTGCCCCTCGCCTTTCTTGGAGAGTGGGCAAAATCTTTATTCTCTACATTTTCTTCGCTCTGTGAATTCTTCCCACAGCCCACGTCACGGACCACCTTCACGCCCTTGTCTCCCCTGTTTCAGTGAAAAGCACCTCCAGCTCTCTCTGCGACCCTCCTCCATTCCACATGGCGTCTGTAGGACCATCAACTGAGAGCGAATGTATATATACACACACACACACACACCCCAAAAGGTGGGAACATTACCCAAACTAGGCAACTCATACTCTTTTCCCCAGGGAAACCGCCTCTTTCGACCTGAGGAGGAGGCCGTGACAACTGAGAAAGACTTTCCATGAGATGACTCCTGAAGCCTGGAGCCCTGAAGCCCTGGTTCTCGGCCCCCACAGCCCCGCTGCTCAGCATCTGCCACGTCTGTGTTACACGCGAGTGCTGTGCCCTATGCCTACAATTCTGCAACCTCCCCTTTTCACTCAACAGTGTATCACGGGGGTCCTTCCACACTGGTTAATATGGCTCCACAGCATTACTTTCAACGGCTGCATACAGTGAAAGGACCACAATCTAATTCCTCAGTTCCTTACTTAAGGTTATTTACTATATAACTGTATGTACTATTGTAAATAGTTCTTTACTATATACATATCTTTGTGCTAACTTTTCCTATTATTCCCGTAGGATAAACTCCGAAATGAGGACTTGCTGAGCTAAAAGGCTATGCAAGTTTTACATTCTGATACAGAGTAGCAGCTGTTTAAAATGATGCATTCATTTATCCCTCTACTGAGACTGAAAGCACACCTCTCCCTCCATGTTCACCAGCCCCGGGAATTACTCTCATCCTTGTCAACACTGCAAACTGGGAAGTGCCCAAATACTAAGGTTACTGAGAGAAGGATTAGCAGAAGTATTCACCATAATATAATGCTTTATGTTACACTTTATCAAATTGTTTCACACCTAGCAAGGTCTAAATGGAGTCTAAAGTATATTACCAACATAATATTTGAAAAATATCTGAAAATATTTTATCTTCTTTGGCTTGGGCTGCCATCACAAACACCACAGACTGAAATAGCTTCAACAACAGAAATACGCTTCTCACAGTTCTGGAGGCTGAGAAGTTCAAGACTAAGATGCCAACGTGCAGGTTTCACTCTGAGGCCTCTGCTCCCAGCTTGAAGGCAGCTGCCATTTGGCTCTGAGTTCACAGGGCCTCTTCTCTGGACCTCACCTGTGGGGAAGGAAAGCAGGGCGTAGGGGCCACAGCTCTCCGCCGTCTTTTCTTACAAGGCCACCAACCCCACCGTGGGGGCTCCACCCTCATCACCTGACCCGACTCCAACTACCTCCCCCAAAGGGATTCAGCTTCAATAGACGAATTTGGGGAAGACACATTCAATCTGTAACAAATGGTACCTTATTTTTGCTTTTAATTTCATTTCTTTAATTACTAATGAAACAGACTATTTTAATATGTGTATTGGTCATTTCTTTTTCCTTTTTTTTTTTTTCCTCTTAATAAACTGGTCTGTTCTGACTCTGAATCGGAACAGGAAGGGTGCGAGACGTCTGAAACATATCGTACCAGACAGAACGCAAGGAAGCCATCACGGGTTCCCGGAGGGCTGGAAGCCAACCTGACTAAGCCTATCTGCCCCGGGATGGGGCAATTGGAGCATCAAAAGGCTAATGACTGAAAGGACTGAAACATCACGTACACTAACAGAGGAGTTCATAAAGATACACACACACACAAAAAGAAAAAACTCTCATCCGTCACCGCAGGAGGACGCCAGGGCGTTGACTTACAATGTGGGGAAGTAGTAAATACAGGGAAATAATCAGACGTTATCCCCACCCTTCCTGTACAATCTATACTACCTCGGTGTAGGTCCATATAGTCTTCCACACAGCAAACATATCACCATTATACCACCAGCTGGGAAACAAAAAACATCATCTGCATGAGCCACAAATCTCAGAAAGAGGTACCATATGTCACTATCCACATGGAAGGGAAATGATGGGACCCAACAAGGACGTAACAGTAGGCACATCTAATGTGCCTAGGAAAAACTCTGAAACATGGCCACACGACAAAACCCTTAAGACACCAAACTTAATGAAATAAGCCAGTCGCAAAAGGACAAACACTGTACAGATTCCACTTCTGTGAGGTCTCTAAACAGTCCAACTAAGAGAGAGAAGTAGGATGGTGGTTGCCAGGGGCCGAGGAAGGAGGGGATGGGGACGTTATTGTTTAAGAGGCACTAATACAAAGTTTCCGTTTAGGAAGATTAAAAACTTCTGGAGGTGGACAATGGTGATCGTTGGACAGCAATGTAAAGGTACTTAATGCCACTGAACTGTCCACTTAAAAGTGGTTAAGATGGTAAATTTTACGTTATGTATATATCCTATCACAAAAAAATTGAGTATGTTTAGTATGTTAAAACTTATTAACTAAACTAACAATACCCTCGCCAAGTTAAAAGATATCTGACGTTTTAATTGCACCATCCCTGCAGCCTCAGCAGTCTCATTAAGGGCAAATGTGTAACTTCAGCAACGCTTTTGGTAAAACGGACACTGCTTCACAGAATCCTAAACAGAAACCTATGCAATCACTAAGTCAAAGCACTTGAATAAAGGTTTTGCCCAATCTTTAATGCATTTGATGAATCACGCACATAGCTGGGCCATCCAATCCATGGTCACTCTCTCTTCATCCACAGGAGGGAACAGGAAACACTCCCATGGATACTGTAAACACAGTGGCACAGATCAAGAGCAACGTCCTACCTTAGCCATGCACAAGACAGGCGCTCAACAAACACTCCTGAATCCCAGTACTCAGGGACTCTGCATTGGAAACCTAAAAGAAAACCACGCCATCCAACGAGAGGGTTGAAATCAGCCCGAAGGGAGGCTGCCCTCTCCAGGAAGTCTTTCCTGGCTCGGGATCTCAGCACCACTGTCGGATGGTCGGCTCAATGTTGGACGGGTTCCGCGTACCAAATATCATTTTATGGATTAATCAAGTTTTTTTTTCTGCCTAAGAGTTTTGGTGGGAAAAAGTGTGAATAGCAAAACTGCCACTCTCACACTTACTTCCACATGAAAACGAGACAGTCCAATACGGTACACAGGTCTTTTCTAAATGAAGGAGTCACTGTTTTAAAACACACAGCAGCAAACACGTTCTGTTCTTGTGCGTCAGGCACAGAGAGCAATCCTGGCCTTCCGTGCTGCTCCCGTGTCTGAAAGCTCCGTTGTGTTAGAGTCTGTGCCCTATACGGTCCCTCTGATTCAGTAAGTCACACACTTCTAGCTCTGGAGGTCAACAACACCCCCTCCCATCACAGGAAAACTGCTCCGTTCACAACCCTATGAGAGAGCACTTAAAATTCTTAAGGGAAATCTCATTCTCGAACAACTCTTTTCACACAAATTCAGCGCAAGTCTTTAAACCGAAGAACCGAACACTAGGTGTGGCTACTACGATTCACTTACACACTCGTTTCCGTGACAGTAAACTGTGGAGAAATGAAGCGCGGACGCCTGAGATCCCCCGAGTCTGAATGCGGCTCTCACTGCACAAAGTCGACATCAGCTTGCAAAGGAACCCTGCGAGACAGCCAGGCAGGAGGCCCGCCAGGCTGGAGGCGAGGGGGTGGCTGTCCGGACTGCAGTGTGGCCCCGTGCAAGGTGCCCTGTCACTTCACGTCCGTCTGCCACGACCTCAACCCCGGCAGTTTGGCGCTGTGGGGCCTGGTGGTGAGCACTCTCCAGGGCCACAGCACCGTTCCCAGGGGCCTTGCCTGCAAGAAACAAACTCTGACTACTGAGAAACGGAAACCGAGACACAGAGAAAGAGGTGTGAAGAAAGAGACCCCCCGCCCCCAAGCCACTTCCCGCAAAGAGGGGTATCGACATTCTTCAAAACCTTAGAAATCAATGACTTGCCCTGTGCTTTCTAAAAACCCTGCCTACTGGGTATCCTTAAGTAAACCTGCTGAACTTACTGCAAAACACCAAGAGGCGGAGTCCCCAAATAGAGAAATCCAGGAAACAGCTCCCTGCGAGGGGAGCTAATTGTCCCCGAGAAGAGAAGTGTTAGGAGACTTTCCTACTCACCGTGGCAATTGAGCAGGCGAGTCGCATCCACCCACAGTAGGACTGGGTCTCCCTCATTTCCCTCCCCAAAGCTAGGTGGCCCTCACCTTTCCACCCTTGCAGTGCCGGGACGTGGGGGGCGGGGGGGGGGGGAACGACTCCTCTCGCTGCTAGTTGCCCAAGCGGGTCCAACTTCGGACCCAGCACCGTGCACTTGGCTGTGCAGCGCAGGGACAAGAGAGGAAGGGCTGCCGCTCGGAGCGGAATCCCCGTGATTTGCCCAGACCAGGCGGCAGGAGCGCCAGCATTTCCAGGCAGCTGCCACGACAGGTGACCGGGCCGCTGTGCCGGCGCCCCGCTCGCCCCGGGCGGGCGTCACCGAGGTGGGCGGCAGGAAGGGGACGGAGGGAGGCAGGCGGCCTGGAGGACGACAAGGTGGGCACCGGCTGGAGGGAAATCCACTCCATCCAGACGCCGGGGAGAAAGAGGAGCAGCACAGCCCCGTCTCCCGCGGGGAAACCGTTTTTAAGGGATTGTCTGGCTCCACAAGTAACCCAAAAAATGGCCTCGAGCCAAACGCCTCCTGATTTACACACACGCACACGCACAGCAAGCTCCTCTCTCGCCCCCTTTTCTGATACGCTGAAACAAAAGGCGAAAACAGCTCAGCAGCGGGCAGCGCCGCCCGAGCATCCGCCGCCCGCTCCCCACGCGCCACCGGAGAGGCCCCGAGACGGCCCGCCCGCTGCCCCCCGCCCGGCCCGGGGCGCCGCCCGCCGGCTGCGCTCCCGCCGCGCCCGGCAGAGGGGCCAGGCCGGGGCTCCGGTCCCCCCCACCCCACGCCCGCCTGGAGGGGACAGGCGCCGGCCCGGCTCGGAGGGCGCCCCGGGCAGCGCTGGGCCCCGCCGCCGCCTCCCCGTACGCGAGGGCGATGGGGACCGCGGCCCCTGCCCGGCTCACCTCCGGGCGGCCGTGCGGCGGATCCGCGCTGCTCCGCGCCTCTCCGCCTGCAGCAGCCCCGCGCCGCCGCCGCCGCCGCCGCCGCCGCCGCCTCCTCCTCCTCCCCCCGCGTCTCGGCGCTTCTCCGCCTCCCCCGGCCGCGCCGCTGTTGAGCCGGGCTGCGCGCCACGTGACCGCGCCACGTGACCCGGGGCGGTTGGCAGGCGCCTCCCGCCGGCCTCGCGCCCGCCCCCCACTCGGGGCTGGGGTCGCGGCCGGGCCGCCCCACCCGCCGCCTGCTCGCACGAGGGGATCCCAACCCCACGGGCCCTCCAACCCCCACGCACAGCGCGCAGCCCTCGCCCCCCACGGCCGCTCCACAGCGCGGACCGCAGTGGGGACAACTGAACTAGCCCGGCCTGGCCCGCGCAGGGCCCCCCGCCCCCAGGCGGCGGGGTCGGGACCACCAGGTCCCACGGCCGTGCGGCCCCAACCTCGTGGGAGCCGGAAGTGGCTCTGCCACAGCCTCCCCCTGGGAACCCCTGGGAGCCCAGACCTGCTGGGACCACGAAGCCACGCGCCTGCCCTGGGGACGCTCGCCAAAGTGTCTCTGGTGGTGGCGGTCGCGACGCTTCTCTTTTCGGTTGCTGGAGCGGAGGAAAGACCCCACAGCGCCGTCTGATCGCACACAGGGCAGAGAGGCTCATGGCCTCCCCCACCCCCATGACACTGATGGCCCGCCAGGGCTGGAAACTTTGTTGTGCACGGCGCCCTTCGTTTTCCGCCGTGTGCTCAGAAGTAGCGTTGCCGATCGCCTGGCTGTCCACACGGGTGTGGTTCTTTCTGGAGAGAGGCGGGGTCGCCATCCCGGTCTTCCTTGGTGGGAGACACACAATGCCCCATACCGTTAAGTGTAGCGGCCGCTCTTTGTAAGGGATCAGAACTGTTCCCTGCCCTGTCTAGTTGCCGCATCTCAAATCAGCTTCGGTGGTAAGAATTTCTGTGAGTTTCTGGGTGTCAGAAAGCATCGAAAGTTAGACTGAGTCCTTAAATTCTGAAATTCCGTGCCTAAGATTTCACAAGTGTTGGCGAGTGCTACCTAGATTTTTTTTAAAGATTTTATTTATTTATTGTTTAGAGAGGGAAGGAGAAAGAGAGAGAGAGACAAAGAAACATCAATGTGCGGTTGCTGGGGACCATGGCCTGCAACCCAGGCATGTGCCCTGACTGGGAATCAAACCTGCGATGCTTTGGTTCGCAGCCCACACTCAATCCACTGAGATACGCCAGCCAGGGCTTAGATTTTTTAATTAAAAAAAAAACAAAAAACAAAAAACATGACTTTTAATCTTGCAATATTTGCCTCATGCATGTGTACACATAAGTATAATGTGTTTAATGGAAGTATTGCTATCAGCCTTATTTGATAACAATGATACTCCTAAAATTAATTTTGAGATGTTTAAGAAAAAAAAATAGGTCTTAGAGTATCTTAAACATAAAAGATAATCCTTACTTCAGTGTGTTGAGTATTATGCCTCAACTAAGAGCTCAATATTATGCTCAACATGGCAGAAGGGAAAGAGAAAAACCTCCAACTCACAGCCCATGTATGTGCCCTGATCAGGATTTGAACCTGCGACCTTTCGTTGCATGGGCCACACCAGCCAGGGCAGGACTCAGAAAAATTTTAAAATCTGACCCTACTGTCAAACTGTAAAGAATTACTAAAAGGAATAAAGATGAAAATTTGCATTGGAAGAACTTTCTTGACTTAACAATCTGTGTAACAGTATAGAAATAATGTAAAAGCCATCAGGACAGAGAACACAGGTGTTCTTTCTTATGCAAAAGAACATGGTCTTTGGAGCATCTGGTGTCTGCATTGAAACCTTGCTTCTGCCACTTCCCAGCAAGGGGCAACAAGAACAGGATGCTTCTTGAACCCTACGTTCTGCTTTTTTCACTGCCTCCCAGGGCTGTTTGAAAGAACCAAATACTTCATGTAAGTCCTTCATATAGTACCTGATACATAATAGATGCTCAGGCAAAGGTAATAATAGCTCAGGTTTATGAAGTGCTCACTACGGGCCAGACACTGTGCCTTACTGGTTCTTATTTCCACTGGTCTGTCTGTTGCCCGAGAGTCTTGGCGGGTGCCCTCCAGCACCCCCTGCCCACCACCACCCATCAGGGATCTGTTCTCTCTCTGCCTTTCCAGCGTGAACACGGTTTCCTTAAGATAGTTTAACGTGAAGGCTCATTTATAGCAATTCATTCAATATGTTGTGCATCTACATTTGAAGCTTTAAAAAAAAAAGTCTTTCTAATTAGGAAATGAAAATGACGGCCTCTCATTTGGAGATCCGAGGCAGCTGGGACCCATCAGGAACGAGACTTGGCAATGGGGACCCTTCCACTGGCCTTTGAAATCCCACTCATCCAGCGATTCTCATTTTGTTTTATTTAAAAGACTTTTAAATATTAGGAAAGTTGGCAACACATGTGAAGAAATTAAACCAATCCATAATAATGGTTCAATAGTAATCACTAGAAGACAGTGTCTCTCATTCATGACTGGGCCTATTAACTGGAAGTCCCCTCAGCTCTAGGTTCAACTTTGAGACAAATTCCTTACTACCCTGATCAGGCTCCCAAAACGTCCGAGCGATGTGTGACCTTTCTTTGAGAACGATGCTATCTTCGCAACTGCCTTGACTTGCGTCACGCAGTGAACTCAGAGCTCACATTGGATCTGATAGGCATCGTGATAACAGTCTGACAATTAGGGTGTGACGTAAATGTCTTATGCTCATCCATCAACGCATTTGGCTGTGTACCCAGGAAAAAGTACGGGCCTGGGGTGGCGGTTGGGCACCACTGCGTGACTCGGGCTGGGCCCGAAGTCAAGAGGCATCCGAAATCACAGCTGGGTGCCTGGGCTGGTCCGCATGACCCCGTCCCCCCTTCACGTTACTCTAAGACGTCCAGATACTGAAGATCCAAACTCTTCTCTCGGGTCCTCTTGCCTGCCTCCCTATCACCCAGCCTCCCCGTCCACCTCTCCCTCTGCTTCCTGGCAATGACATAATTCAGAGCCCAGTTTCTGCCCAACACAAGCCCCTCGGCCACCAAGATTTCCAGCACAGGGATCAGGAAACTGGACATCCTGCTGGATGTAGGAGTAGGGAAGGTGTCCGTGGCAAAGGAGCTAGAGCTTCTGGAGAATAAGATGCAAGCCGTTTGTCTTTCCACAGATCCTCCAGAGAGCCCAAAATGCCAGTGCCAGCTTAGGTGGCACTAAAAAAGGACAACATTCAGGATGAGGAGGGACTGCCCATGGCCCTCTGTGCTCTGCACTCCCAACCGTTCCTCCCAGCTCAGCACACTACTGCAGTCACATTTCAAGAAGGATATTAGTAAGTGGCAGCACAACCTAGGAAGGGTGACCAGGATGGTAAGGAGCTGGAAGCTGTATTGTACTGTTACACAGTTTTATAAGCAGCTACTAAAGACAACAGGAATGCTAAACTTGGAGAGAGACAGAAGAATAGGTGGGTGAATACGATCACACGGGCATACTATTACTTTTTAATTACTGAGCTGCTACTTTGGACCAGACACTGCCCAGACCGAGAGTCAGCATGGGAGGGGGTTGCTGGAAGGGGGTTTGGTGCAGACTGGAGAGAGCCTTGCAACAGGGCGGTCCACCAGGGAGCAGTAGCCTTGAGCCCACGCATGCCTCTGCTTTGACTCTGACGAGCTGGGCTGGACTCAGCCCGGGGGCGACAGCAGGGTCTTCCTCAGCCTACTGCTTCCTCTTCCCAGCCCCACAGAGCGCTCCTGGGCATCAGCAACACCTACACCCCCCGTCCGGGACCGGGAGTCCTGCTTAGCTCACTCTGAAAGGAAAAGATGGGACGTCTCTGCCCTGCTGTCTCAGGGCCCTCACAGCCCAGACCAGAGACGGCGGACCCCCGGGGTGATCAGGCCTGGGACATAGAATATGCAAGATCCTATGAGATCTGCTTGCTGGAGGATGCTCTTGAGTTAGAATATGAAGGCACGGGCAGGAAATGAAACTAGCCTTTTAGGTTCTGTAGTCTTTTTAAGTGATAAAACCCCAAGACGTGCAGAGCTGAGCAGGTGGACTCTGGGGCCTGCGCCTGGGCCTGGTCAGCACACGGCCTTTAACAAAGAGAGTTTTTAGAGTCGTCCCTTGCTCCCCCCTCACTTGCCCCCCATCCAGGAGGAGAGAAGAGGTGAGGGGGCTGCCGGACTTTGTCCCCCAGGCAAAGCTCCGTCCTCCCTCCTCTGGACCCTGTCCTCGTCCAGGTGGGCCCTCGAGGCAGCCCTGAGCCCCGACCGGACCCTGTCTGAGTGAGTGAATGTAGTTGGTACCACTTTTCTTTAAGCAGAGTAGCCAGTGGGCTCCCCAAAGGGACTGCGGTAGCATTAGTTCAGCAACTATCAAAGCAAGTAGAGACCATTGTCCCGGCTAAACTTTTCGTTTTTCCTGGCAATGTTCCGAGACTGCCTCACCGGTCTCTGGGAGGAGGAGGAGGAATGACTTGTATGAGAGATCAAACACCCACCCCCGGGCCGACCGGCTGGCCCAGGCCTGGGAGATGGCAGGGCAGATAGAATCTGGGGCCCGCATCTGCGGCTGGCCAGGGGAGGCTGGCCTGGCTGTCCCGGGGCTGTGCTAAGGCCACGCTTGACGCAAACCTCAGGAGGCTGGCTCCTCTCCGGGAAGCTGTTGGGGTCTGCCCTGCCTGGTCTCAGGAAGCTGTAACCCCCCGAGACTTAGGCTGAGTGAGAGACCTCCGAACCGGGAGCCACTAAAGAGACAAAACTTATTCCCCTGGCATGAACGCTGCCTGTTCTGTGCTGGCCCCCAGTGCTTGATCAGTTAGCCAATGACGGGTGGGATTTCCCATGGAGGGTAATAGCCTAAGACAGGCATGATCACGAGGAGGCCTCAGGGAAGGACTTGGGGGACTGTGGAAATGAAGGGGTGATGGACATCGACCCTTGCCCCCTCGGCTTTGTCAAAGCCTGAGTCCTTGTTCTTAGTTGTGAGAAAT